ACTGATGGAGAATATATTCGTCATTGGTTTCACATGTCACGAAGTGTTCATCTCTTCGACACTTGGATTTTCCTGTCTTACATAATGAAGAAAATATCTTCTTCATTCCATTATTTCAAATATCATAATTTCGATTCTCCTACTAATCTTTAGTGTTTCTATGCTACCACTAAGTCTCTCTATATATCCCTTCATTTCGAAGAAACTAAGATGTTTTTATAGGTATTGTGTTTCTTCTTATTTATGTTATTCTCAAATCAAATATTCTTCACATAGAGTGTCATATCTTGTCAACTCTGTATTACCTCTCTCTGAAGTTTTATTATAATAAACCATACTCATAGCACACTATAAAACCTTTTCAAATGAGCCCCCAAAAAAAAAAAGGTCTTCATAATTAGGAATCCAAATATATGTCTTAACATGCCACATCCTTTTAATTTATTGCAGAATAGAACTTGAGCATCCCATGATAAAAATATGATATCTCTCAACTCATAAAAAGTTAATCTTCGAATCCTTTTGAGTATTGAAATAGACTCAAAAAATATAAAATAGTGCTCAGTTCTATCCCTAAATCATACCATTCAGTGAATATTCATTTTAGTGACATTTAAGTCACAATGCAATTTTTTCAGTTGAAAATTAGGTTGAGCACCTCTCAATAAAAAATTTGTTTTTCTCAATCCTCAAAGAATTTATTCATGAAATCTTTTGTGTTGAAAACTAAACTCAAAACCAAATCATAACATCATAGTTTGAATTCCAAATAGTACTTTCATTCAGAGAAATACATAAGTGACATTTACGTCACAAAATAAATCATACTGCAGAATTCCAAGATGAACACTATCTAGTAAAATTGTATTTTCTCTCTACAATCATGGAGTTTCTCTTTCAAACCAAATTTGTTTGAAATTAGACACACAATAGTAACACATATATTTTCATAAGCCTTATATCACTCTGTTAAGTAGGCTTGATAAATATAGCTATTCATGTATTCAATGAAAGACATACCAAATTACAGAAAATTCAGGATGACCTCTTTTCTAAATTTTTTATTCCTCTCTTCCCATGGATATTTCTCTCTCAAATAAATTTTATTGGAAAATAGGCTTAGAATAAAAGTCTAAAAACTTAGTGTGGACCATACAACATTTTGTTAAGTATGGAAATAAATTCATGACTTCCAAGTCATGGAAATAATTTTTATTACAGAAAACAAAACTTGCGCACTCTTCAATAAATTGATCATATCTTTCAAACCACAAGGAATTTCTTGATGAATTTTTTACTTGAAAGTAGACTTAATTTTGTGAGTTATAGTAAAATTTCAGCAAGAAATAAAATCATATGATTGGTGGAAAAAATCATGGAACACAATGGACAGTTCTTGAATTTTACAGGGTCAAAACTGGCACCCTTCATTGATGATTCCATAACTCTCAATTCCCTTATAATTTCCCATTGAAATTTTGCAGGTAAATCCTACTCTTAAATACACAAAATAGCACTGAAGTATGTAATAAAAAAATGCCTCATTATATTCTTCATATCTTTACTCCAAAATAGTCCAGAATACTCATTATGCAGAGTGCTTTTTCGGTGTTGGAATATTTCAATAATTCTTAACTGTTGGTGTATTTCTTGACCACAAAGGTCATTAGCTTTCTTATATCTCATTCTCAAGCTTGATTTCAACGCAATAAAGAGAAATGATAACTAGTGACATCAACTATCAATAGCTCTGATACCAATGAAAGAAAGACCTATGTGATCTTTTACCGAAGAATATATATATATAGATATATATATATATATATATATATATATTTATTTATTTATTTTTCACCCCTTTCTTTCGGCAAAAGATCACTTACAGGTGGTATTTATTATAATAAGATAAATTTCAAAATAAAATCAATATAACATTAAAACCAAGATCTTAGCAACTTGATGCTATTGAAATAACTATGCACTAGATTTGAGAATAAAAGATAAGATTGCAAGAAACAAAAGGAAGAGTGTCGGAGATTACCTCAACCGAGTTTATTACACCTCATACCAAGTCACCACCATCCGATGGCGCGGAATCAACGGTCTAGCTTCAATCTCGAACTGAGAAAACAAATTTCTAACAGGCCCCACCAATGGAACATGAACCCCTTTGATCACAAACTCAAACCCTAGGTGAATTTTCTTAACAACCTAGTTTGAGAGAGATGGATTCGTTTTTTGTTAAACTAAAACCCTTAGCCATAAATCCATATTTGAGAGATAAGAGAGAAGCACTCCATAACCTAAACCCTTAGGTTCTTTCACAATGTGGGAGAGAGAGAGATCATACAGGAGAGAGATAAACTTTCTTTAGAGAGAGAAATAAAAAGATAAGGTGTAGAGATTTTTTGGTAGAGACAATTTTCTTTTATAGGCTTTTGAATAAGATTAGGGTTTTCTTTGGCTTGCCTCTTCTTGTGAGATTGAGCATAGACTGTCGATAAAGGGTGACTTGTGGGGTGAGAGATCTGAGCCATCAATTCCATAGATGGGCTATCAATATTATAGAAGGTGCATGAACCATTATCCCCCTTTTCTAAATCATTTTCCCATAAATAGAAATTAAATAAATTAAATCTAATTAAAATATTGTGTATACCATAAAATAGCACAAATCTACTCAATCTTTCTACAAAATCTTTCAAACATATATCAAGTCAATATTTAGTTAATAACTTCCAACCATATGGCCATATGCCATATCACCAAAAAATATGAAAGAGAATAAGGGTGGGGCGTGCCAGCCAAGGGAGGCACTCATAAGCCCCATCTTCTAAAAATATGGCGGGCCCATGTGCACAATGGACCCCCATGATATTTTTATATATTTAAAATTAATAAAAAAAATTTAGAATATTATTTAAATATTTAAATAATTGTAACATCAATATCTTTAATTTTATAAATCCAAAAATTATAAATAAAATATCGAGGGATTCATAAAAATTCAAATAATAACCTTAAAATAATTTTCATCATAAAACAAATACAATTAAATTAATTTGATGGAAAAATGATCCATATGGTTTAGGAATCAACAATCATGGGGCACTCCACCTTCAATTGTAGACTACAGACCACACTTGCTTTATCAGATCGACCTAGTGTTTCTCATGACCCACAGTCTAAGCAGGGGCTCATTAGCGGGTCACCAATGTCCAACCGATGAGCCAAGGGATCGCAATCGTAGTATGTGGATTTCAGGTTCTCCTCTAGAGACAAGTCAAAGTCACCAAGACCTTACGCTACCACAGCTCTATGGCGTATATGGGTATCTCTCGCACATTCATGCGCTTCACACTAAAAGCTGGATTTCTAGCTTTCCCAAATGATCTATCGATATGCATGCCGTGTGATGGTACATGGATGAGGTTTTGACCCCTGTCTCTATAGGCCACCATCACACACATGGGTCACACAGTCCCTCAGCTCACTCATTCGGGCATATTCTCCGACCTCATCAAGAGCTAATCCATTAAAACCCTTATTGGTTTGTTCTTTATACCCAGATAACATGAGTTTTTCCCAACCGACTGGCCTAGATCGTTAAGCACATATCGGTATCAGCAAACTATCGTTTGCTTAGTATAGTCCACGCGGGACCACTCCACTGAGTTCATGATCCACTATATCATTTCATTTTACAAGCACCCATAAGGCCTTTAAAAGCCACATGAACTCAACATTTCTCACTACTTTAAACCTTGTTCTTTTGGAGCCTTCTGATGGAACCAATTCACACTTCCGGACATGTATTGTACTGGGTTTGTACCTCCCAAAAGATTGAATGTCGAAAATATTAAGATTTTCGAATCAGGCCAGGCCCAAGACTAGGATTCTAATTCTGGTTTCAAACAAATCTAAAAAAAACTAAAATCATGAAAAGAAAACAAAGACTCCAGAAGCAAACAATGCAAAAGAATGGGAAGTTGGAAACATCTTACACTTTATTTGAAAACAAATTAGAAGCTAAAACAAAAGGAAGACCTACCTCTTTTGGTGAAAAAGTTGCCTCCCCAAAGGACGAGAGAGGCAGAAAAAGGCTAGTCCTCTTTGCCAAATAACACATCAACAAGGACCAATATCAATCAATATGGGTCCTAACCTGCGACGCACTAGCACCTACTCCTCAAACCCACTGGGCTCAAAGCCTCGGAACTTACCTTCACCAACACTCTTGAACACGCTCACACTTCTAGAATCTACTTTCAAGAATAGTTCTTGAATCCATCTCCCTCAAACCCACCGGGCTCGACTGCATTCAAAGCCTCCCACACGCAAGTTCTAACCTGTCCTCACTTTTTTTTTTCCCTCCTTTTTTATTGGAATGTTAACTGCAGACCTGGTGAGGATGGAACTCTAGACGTTTCATTGTGGCATTTGTGATCCCAACCACCTCAACCTGGAGTCCACCTCTACCTAGAGCCCTCTCTCAGCAGTTAACACAATCTTAGCACCCGTAAGATAATGTCCTAATATTTGAATAGTCAGATCTAAGTACTCTCGAACTCAAAATCCATTTTTCAAAATACTAATCTGGTGATTCCATAGCATATACTAAAACTGAAAATTTCTTTTGCCTGAGAATGAAACTCTTGACAGTTTCATAGTGGAACTAGCCACCCCGGACCACCCTCTCCCTAGAGGCCATCTCTGTCTAGAGCCCTCTATCAGCAGTAATACACTTTTCACCCGGAAGATAATGTCATGATATTTGGATAGTCTGACCTAAGTCATTGGGAACTCAAAATCCATTTTTTTAAATACTAATCTGGTGATTCCAAAGCTTATACCAAAAAATTGAGAATGAAAATTTCTTTTGCCCGAGGAAGTAAGTGTATAATGATCTCTCTTTTTATATATATATATATCAAAAAAAAATCCACTTTGCGACATCCAAAATCACACAAAAAATTAAAAAAAAAAATACAATCTCAGCCAACAGGCTTTGTGAACTCACTTGAATATCACTAAATAGCCCTGAATGCATTATTAAGAATCGTAACAATATTAATAAATGTATGCTTCTTATATTACACAAACCATCCATGTCACAAGTAGTGATAAATTATTGATCTGCAAACATCATATACTGAGAGTGAGAGAGAGAGAGTTACAATCTCAAGTTCTCAACGACCAAAGCTTCTTCAAGAACCCACTTGAATACCTGAGAATGATCCACTAAATCTTCTCATTAACAGTTCAGAAACAGAGCTCCCCTGTCTCAAACTACGACTACCAACCAGCATTTGTTTAGCACTCTTCAATGGCGAACCCAATCTTTTCTTCAATGGCGAACCCAATCTTTTGGCCAAATTTGATGGAGAAATCGACCGATAAACCCTCGATGCTCTATTCATTCGACTAGGTGGAGACTTCAAAGAAGAATGACCTGGTTTCTTAGCTATATTCAATGGTGGGCTCTTGATCTTCACTGAAAATTTCATTGAAGGTGGAGGATCAGGTGATTTTATTGCGAATATATGAGGGGGAGACCTGGTTTTATGAGGGGACCTGGTTTTCCCCATGAGTTTGGGTTTTTGTGAAAATGGAGGGGACCTGGTTTTCCCTGTGAACTTGGGCGTTTGTGAAGGAGAAGCAAAAGAAGTTCTAGCTATAATTGGCGATCTGGTTTTTCCAATGAATTTGGGTTTCTGAGAAGAGGGAGAAGAGAGAAAAAGTGGGTTTGGAAAGAGAACCGCCTTCCTAGCCCATGGCTTGTGTTTTGGCGAAACTCGAAGGGCCGCATGCTGTTGCTGATTGTCCTTCTTCTCTCCCGCTTTTCTCTCACTAGACGCCTCTGCTCTCTCACTAGAGGCCATCAGTCTCTCACTAGCAGCTGAAACCTTGAAATTGATGCGTGATCGCGCCCTTCTGAGAGGTGGGGATCCTCGGACTTCTGGTTTTCCTCTCTCTTGTTTCTCTTTCTTCCTTCTCGTGTGCAATTCGATTCTGGTTTTATTATTAGGCTTTGTTTTTGTGCCCACTGGAGTTTTAGGATCATTCGAGTTAGAGAGAACCCGAGTGGCATCAACCAATTGTTTTGCGAATTTGCTTGCCTGCAAAATTTCTCCAACTGTTTCTCCGACCAACATGGCCGGAAGGGACATTCTCCTCCATTCACCTGCAAATAAACAAAAACCCAATATACAAAAAGTTAGAAAAGTAGAGAGAGAGAGAGAGAGATTGTGTGTGTGGTACAGTTTGCAAAGATGTGGTTTTTACCAGTGCTGTTCCTTTCAATCTCGGCACATGGAGCTTTCCTGAGAGCTGTGTTACGGATCCTTCATAAATTCAGGAAACCCAATTGGATCAATAAGCCCATGTAAGAGAGAGAGAGAGAGAGAGAGAGAGAGAGAGAGAGAGAGAGATTATGAAACCTGATCGATTCTTGCTTGCATCTGAGGCTGGTTCTTATGTAGCCTCTTGTGCTGCGAGGGCTGAGATTAACCCCTCCTATCACCTTTGTTCCTCCTGTCACTGTGTATTGTAGCTCTTGAAGCCGAGCCATCACTTTATCCACCTTTAGAAACCATATACATGAGAAGAAAACGCCAGTTAGCTCTCCGCAAAAAGCTTAAAAGAGAACAAATCGATTCAAAGAAATGGCGATTGCATTTAAAGGTTTGCAATGGATACCTTTCTCACTGTTTCTCTCACAAGAATTGGGTTGAATGCTGACATTTGGTCCATTGGGCGGTGAGATTCCTTGGATGGAGGAGTCTTAGCCACCATTTTCTTGATTCCTACAAGGGATATGTTGCAGACCTCTCTTCCTTTCTCTAACACACTGTCTCTCTATCTTCTCCCCATGGATTCACCTTTCTCTCTCTAACTTCTACACCTCTGTAACATAGATTTTCGCCTTTCTATATCTTGTCATGGATTCATCTTTCTCTCTCTCTCTCTCTCTCTCTCTCTAACTTCGTACATTTTATGTAGGATATTGTTACGCGAGTCAAAAGAGATTTGCCTCTCAAAAAGCGCTATATCCCACAACGGTAACATTCAAAGTCGAACACAACGGCTACTTTTCCCGTCTTTAAAACTTGGAACTTCGCTCCCGACGCCTCCAATGTATTTAAGTGGGCCCAGCGCATCGTGGTTAATCAGCGGCTTAGATAAGAAAAGCGCGGAAAATCTGAACCGTCCATCTGATCCACTAATTTTTGTGTTTCAAGTTTAACTTAAGACCACTTTGCCATGAATTCAAAATTTTTGAGAATAACTTACATAAATAACTAACGGTGTGGCTTGCGTAAGGTTGCAATCTTAAACAATCAATGCAATTTTGCGGTAAAAATCTTTTAGGATGTTTGGAAATCTATTTTTATTTTTAATTATAAAATTTAAAATATATAAAAATATAAAAAATAGATTGTCTAGAGAATGGGTTGCAAGATGTATTATTTTTAATCTTTTTTTCTCTCCATATCTATATATCTCGATGTCGAGATGATCAATTAGACATTTTTCCAACATCAAAACTATTATTCAAAGGTTTTGTAGGTATATCGTAATTCTACATTTTAAGGTGTCAACCTTAGATAAAAATTTTCCAATAATTAAAATGGTTGCATCACTTTAAGAAGCGAAGCGGAAAAACCCATTTATTGATTGTGAGGCTTGCATCCTTAAATAACAATAGTAAGGTACATCTCAAAACTATGCCAAAAGCTGTAATTTTCATGCCACAAAGCCTTGTCATGACATGAAAATCTGTTAGCTCCAAAAGTGGTGCAGGTTGAACAGAACTATAAACAACTAAAAATTTTAAAAATAGATGGTAGATAATGACATCACAATATGCATTATTTTTTAAGATTGAAATTATTTTATTCTCATATGCATAAATCTCAAGGTTGAGATGATCAATTTGATGGTCTTCTAATATCAGAACAACCTTTTCCGACGATTTGTGAGAATGCCTTGTTTCAATGGAATAAAGTTGACACTTTATATAAGTTTTTGTCATTTATCGAAATAAGTGAACGCTTTAAAAGTCATTTCACTCAAATATCTTCTCAAATGTTTTGTTAAAAACAACCGTGTTTTTTTTTTTGAGAATGTCACAACCTTGTTTTTTATTTGGAATCATGAACAAACAAATATACTTTGATAATTTGGCTTATGACACAAGTAGCCAATAATTATCAAAATACCCTGTTTATTCTGGATTCCACACTCAAAACAAGTGTATATATATATATATATAATGATCCTATGAGACCCTTCCACATCCATGTGTGTATGACCACAAAGGATCACCATTAAAATTTGCACAGATCTCTAGAAAAGTCATTACATGGGACTTGACTTTTCTAGAGATATGTGTCAAATTTAATGGTGATCCTTTGGTCCTACACACAATGATGTGGGAGGGTGTCATGGGATCATTACTCATAATATATATATATAATACTTGTTTTGGGTGTGGAATCCAGAATAAACAGGGTATTTTGATCATTATTTGCTACTTGTATCATAAGCCAAATTATCAAAATATCTTTGTTTGTTCATGATTCCAAATAAAAAACAAGGTTGTGACATTCTCAAAAAAAAAAAAGAAAAAAAAAGAAAGAAAAAGAAAACAAAGGTACGTGTTTTTAACAAAACATTTGAGAAGATATTTGAGTGAAATGACTTTTAAAGCATTCACTTATTTTGATAAATGACAAAAGCTTACATAAAGTGTCAACTTTATACTATTGAAGCGAGACGTCCTCACAAACCGTCGAAAAGGGTTGTTATGATACTAGAAGACCCTCAAATTGATCATCTCAACCTTGAGATTTATGCATATAAGAATAAAATAATTTCTGTCTTAAAAAATAGTGCATATTGTAATGTCATTATCTGCCATCTATTTTTTAAATTTTTAGTTATTTATAGATCTGTTCATCCTGCACCACTTTTGAAGCTTTAAATTCCATAATTAGAGTTAACTGATTTTCAAGTCGCTTTGTGGCATGAAAACGATAGCTTTTGGCATAGTTTTGAGATGTACCTTAGTATTGTTATTTAAGGACGATGCCTGATACAAGCCTCACAATTGATAAATGGTTTTTTCTGCCTCGCTTCTTAAAGTGATGCGATCACTTTAATTATTGGAAAATTTTTATCTAAGGTAGACACCCTAACATGTAGAATTACGATGTACCTACAAAACCTTTGAAAAATAGTTGTGATGTTGGAAAAATGTCTAATTGATCATCTCAACATCCAAATATATAGATATAGAGAGAAAAAAAGATTTCAAATCCTAAAAACAATATATCTTGCAATCCATTCTCTAGACAAGCTATTTTTTATATTGTTATATGAATAATGATCTTGAGACCCTCCACACCCATGTGTGTAAAACTTTAAAAAATCACTAAAAAAATCAAATCTCACACCCATATGATAACTTTGCTAGTGATTTGTATCATATTTAATTGTGATCATTTGAGATCCCATACATATGGGTGTGGGAAGCTCTCATAAGATCATTACTCATATTATATATATGTTGACCGTGGGAAAAGAGGATGAGATGTTATATTAAGTCCCACCCGCAACCACGGATGCCCAACTCCATTCCCAAGAGTAGCCATATTACTAATAAAATAACACATATTTACCAAGGTACCACTATCTCCTGTGTCCATCATCAAGACCGGATGGCCTCATGGTGGGACATGAACCATAATACCTTCAGTATCACATGCCACACCCTCAATACCACATCTACTCGGTGTTATAAAACTGGTGAGGCAATTTGGAAATGCCCAAGGATTTAGCTTTTTTTGGGGTTTTTCATTCAAAATAACCACGAGAACCGGCTGAACTGGCTCGGAGGTTCCAAGCCAATTGCTCAGCCAAACACAGTTTAGTTGATCGAGCCGGTTTTAAAACACTGCCTGCAAATTAAGGTAACACACGCATCGTACGAGTTGGGGAAATTATGCTATGATACATGTATACTACAAAAAAATGTATGCATGTCATCCAGACTCAGCAATAGAGGGGATATAATCCATTCTTCTGCTAAAGCATCAAACTGCTCATGACCATCTGCTACGCACGGACAGTGTAGACGAAATATCACACAACTGATATGTCAGAGTATAACTATCCCTAAGTAGTTTTTAAAACAATTAGGTAGACCAAAACCCATTTTAGTATACTGTTAGATTTCTAGAGCCTACTTCCCATGTGAGAGCGAGAAGCAAATTCCAACACCAGTAAGATACAATAATGTCAAACCTTTTAACATTCAAAAAGAAACGTATACAAATGAAATTTTGCGAGAGTCCATGTGCCTGACGTTCAAACTTCCAAACCTGAACTGAAAGGCAAACACTTCTTTTCACACAGTAGCATAAGAAGAAGACACTATGCAGGCTAGACGTCAGGCACCGCCACCGCACATGCATATACAAATAAAAGAATGCCCCTACACTGCTAATAATTATAACCACAACAGTTGACCAACCACTAGCAACCATCAACCACCAAGCACAAATCAATCACATAAATCCATCTTTCTCTCTCAACAAGCAAAACCAGGGCACAAAATCCACTCACTTTCTTTCCGATGGAATATCTAGAAGAGATCGACCTTCCTCTTCTGCATGTCTTGCTTCCACTTTGGCTGTTGGTAGAAAGCCTCTTTGGCCATCCCCAACACACTCTGGAACTCCGCATCTGACAGGTAGGCCTACGGAAATGAAATATAGAATTAGTAGAGAAATACTGGTTTATATTCTTGTCCTGATAAGTTAGAGAGAGAGGAGAGAGAGAGAGCGTATTCTAGGAGCTGGGTTTCTCAAACTTTTTAGAGAGGGAGAGACCCTGCAGTCATTTATTGAATTTAAGAGAGAGAGAGAGAACCTCTCTCCTCTTGTAGTCAATCCCAGTAGCTGGATTCGTGGACTTTGCTTTCAGGCGCTCATAACTATACGTGCATTCACTTCCATTCGCCCCTGATGGGGCCTCCTCCTGTTTCACCCCTGAATCATCACCTCCATTGCTCTCTGATACAGATTCTCCAGCTTCTGTTGCCTCCTTGACACTCAAATTATCAAGTTGATCCTCCACTTCAAGGCTTGCACTCACACTCTTCCTTGCCTCTGCAACTCATGATGCCACAAAAATTTTAGGCTCATTTTTTACGAACTTATGTGATATATATTTCTGACTCGTTGACGTATTTAGAGTCCAACTTCTGGACTTACCATTTCCTTTTTTAACACTTCTGCCCGTAAAATATGATTTTGAAATTTTGATGTGTTGGTGAGACACGTATAAAGAAATAAAAGAATTGCAGACATGGAAAAAAATTCAGGAATACCTTCAAATTCATCTTGACAAATTTATTCTTCGGACCAAAGTTCTAGGAAAAAGTCAAGAATTTGATACTCTTAGGATATCACCAAGGTAAAATCATAGCAAAAGGGGGAAAAAACTAGAAAAGGAAAAATACGTAAGTTAAAACAGGTTAAACCAGAAATAAAGAAAAAAACTTTAACTCAATAGAATTTAGTTTGTTTAAACCCATATTTTATTATAACAATCAAATTAAGGTGTGCCTCCAAATTTTATTATAAATGTAATTGTGGGGTAAACAATTCTTAGGATATCTTGAGAATTTATTTTGATCTCGAATTAAAAATTTTAAACTCCAAAAATAGTTCAAATCAAGTAGATCTATAAATGCATGAAAATCTTGATTTTGGACAGTCCAAATACTGTATTTCAAGATACACTATATTTTTTTTGATAATGTTAACTGAGTAGATCTATAAATGTATGAAAATCTTGAAATTGGACAGTCCAGATACTGTATTTCAAGATACACTATATTTTTTTTGATAATGTTAACTGTTGTATGGAAAGAGGAATTTCAAGATACACTATTTTTGAGACTTGAAATCTTTTTTCCTTTCATATTCATACATCTCGATGTTGAGATGATCAATTAGAGGGTTTTCCAACATAAAAAAACCGTATATGATGGATTTTTGAGGTGCACCTTAATTCTACATTTTAAGGTTGCAACCTTATATAAACTTTTTCCTTCTTTTATGCATAGGGTGCGGTTGGCATACGGATGCATCTGTAGCTGTAGAGGTAAGGTGTGCCTTCCAAATTTTATCCCGGTATATAATTTTGATGTAAAATGTTCTTAGGATTATCTCAAAATCTATTTTTATATCTAATTATAAAATTTTAAATTTTAAAAATGGTTAAAATCAAGTAGATCTATAAACATATGAAAATCTTGAAAATGGACGGTGTAGATACTACGTTGTAAAATGCACTATTTCAGAGACTTAAAATCTTTTTACTTTTCATGGTTATACATCATGATGTCGAGATGATCAATCAAACGGTTTTTCAACAAATAAACTACCTTTTCCGATGGATTTTTGAAGTGCATCCGTAGCTCTACATTATAAGGTTGCAACCTTATATAAACTTTTTCCTTATGCATATATTCTTTTGTAAAAATTTGGAACATCTACTTTTCTGATGAACTTACATTTATATTTAAGCATTCATTAATGCTTGCCAAAACTTTTACAGGGAATAACTATGGAAGAGAAGATCTCTACACATCATAAAATGGCTTCTTTTGCAAAACTCATGTTAGATTTTAAAAAATGTGCAGATATTTGTGACTATTAAAACCATTTGGGGGGTCTACCAAAGGACTATCTCACAAAAAATATGAGAGAAATTTAACCAAATGACAAATTGAAATGGTAAGGTTAAACAGCTGCAACTCAAAGAAGCACCAAGAGTTATAAATATCAATTTGGTCATTGAGAAAAAGTTGTCGATGTAGCATACACCAATTCAATCTCTGTCCAGCCTAAAACAATGAACCCAGTTCAGTTTGTTTTTGTGTGAGTGTGTGTGTGTGTGTGTGTGTGTGAGAGAGAGAGAGAGAGACAGAGAGAGATGTTTTTAGGGTACCAGAAACCGTGACATCAGGCGAAGGACTTCTGCTGAATCGGGAAGCAGCATCAGGTGATCCCTTCTTCTCAGCAGTGAGAACAGTAGAAAGAGCTGCGACTGCAGCCGCTCTCTGTGAACCCTGGCCTGAGGAATAGGCTGGCCTTGGTGCTGCAATTCTCGTTGCACTCGATGGTTTGAAAGCTGAATTGAGAGCAGCAAGGGCCGAGGCTCTCTGTGTGGGCCCACCTTGATTTGAACCATTCGATTTGTCAGAGCCATCAGGGGATCCGAAACTGCTTCTTCGAGAACTCTGCTACAAAAATCATAAAATCACTTATTACTTAAAAGCTTCTCTCTCTTATCCATTGAAAGAAGAAAACCAAAAGGAAAGTTTATCAATATGTTTCAGTTCTATGGTGAAAAGGAGAAAGTATGCCATACATCAGTCATGAATGGAAGATGAGTACAACAAGGGGGAGATCCATTGTCCTATCCTGATAAGCAACGGTGGAGAGTTACTGTACCCAGATGAGTTTCCAATAATGGAAAATATGGTTAATGTCCACCGTTTGTCCTAGGGAACAGACAATGGATGTCTATGTGGTGTAACATATATCATACACTGTTGCTGTATGGCACACTTTCACATAGTGAAGTCAGGTCAAGGATGAGAGTATGTTGCTTTATATCATGCAGCCATTTTTTATTTCACAAGGATGGATCTTAATACCTCTACAGCCAGAGCAGACATCCCTAGAAGCATCACTAGTTTCTTTTCAAATGAATTTCCTTGAGCCTGCAGTGATTTAGGAAAGCAAACTCTTAATGAATAAAATGATTAGTAAACTATGTCATAATAGCTGTACAAACATTTGGTTCAAATAAGGCACAAATAATTTCAGTGCCTCAATCTCCACAACTATCGAGCACCTTCTATAGGAGCTACCCCGTATCATTGATTCTTTAATAGTTCAAACCATTCAGGTAGTCTTTACAGTTAGGTAATGCCCTTCCACAAAACTAGTTTTATATGTCTATTTGAATTCCTGCCAGACTGCTGTGATACTTGTACTGCAAAATAAATCCTCATGCATTTCCTTTAAAATGACTATAAATATTTACTTGTGTTAAAAAATAAAATAAAAGACAGAGAGAGAGAGAGAGAGAGAGAGAGAGAGAGAGAGATCTGTCTCATCTTCAGAGGAAAACCATGTAGGAAATAGGGGGTACATGGTGGCATCAAAGAAAGAATCCCAAAGAACGGTTGTCGAAGAAATACATACAGCTGCTTTTGCAGGATCCCACGAAAAGTATGTAGTGAAGAAACTTGGTTCATTCCCTTCTGTGATCTTGTACAAGGGGACATCTACTGATAAACTTTCTAGTGAAGCAGCCATATCTATATATTTCTGGAATAGACATAATATTATATTAGATATGTTAAGTAAATGATGGCTTCTAGAATTTTGTTTCATCAACCAAAATACCTGCCCAATCTCAAAGGCCTTCTGCTTCTCTTTGGGGTCTACTGATTGGCCAACCCATACAAAGATCTCCGCTCGTGTGTCGAGTATCATCATGTCCTCAGTCAATAAATCATCTTGAGAAAAGTTGAAGACCTCGGAGACCTGCCATCCAAACAAGACCCAGACAGCTCACTTCACCATATGGCAACAAAAAGCAGTGAGAGAGAATCACATTTCAGATGCAAATCAAAACCGCACCTCAAACTTCCCTGGGGTGTAGCCACAAAGCCATGCGAAGAAAAAGAATGAAGAGTCAGAAATCCTTAAAACACCCAACGGAAATAGGGTCCAGAATAAGATTAAGAAAAGCGCTTGATTCAAAAGAAACTACAAAAGGAGAAGCAAAATAAATCTGAAATTTCAATGAGGCGAAATCTTGACCAAAAATCTGTTAGAAATCAGTTATAAACCAAGCAACTACCTTTATTGTATGAAAAAGTGTATAAATGAGGGTCTCGGGTGATCTCTGGGGGTGCCTTTTTGGTTGTGTAGCTCTGCTTGCCTCCAAGTGCAAACCAGAAAGCTGCTGGCTCAGTTCCTTCCTTTGCGTGTTTGAGTGTCACCCCAGGCTATGAAAATCAAAAGTGTTAAAACTCCACCAAATAATATACGCCTACCAAATTTCAGAAAGAGATAAGCTATCCATCAACTTGGTACATTGTACCTCCGGTAAACACACGGGAATAGAGATAGGAAGACCAGATGAAATATAGTTGTCATAGTTTCAGAAATTCACAGATACAGAGGAAAGTAGTGCTACCCAAGAGGATGCAGTTCTTGTTCCTGATGGATTAATCTTCAAAAGCTATGATTTTCTCATCTCTCTTTAGATAGGAGAACACCCTAAGAAAATAGCCTTAAACCTAAAACCATTTCAAAACTTAAAATTGAGTAGGATGGTGGTTTCCACATGCATCATGAAAAAGTAAAATGATCAAACCAAACTGAAAATGTAACACACCTTAAGAAATTCTGCAACCTTAACTGCCAGCTGCTGCTGCTCTAAAGTGCTGGCATTGCCATGCCAAGTGAAAATTGTTGACCCAGATTGCAACAGAAAGCAATCGGCGGAGCTTAGTGATGCCCCCACCTAGATCACAAAATCATATACCATTACTACTTGTATTATAAGAGTTTGCCATAAGATTGATCCTTCATTTATTTCCATAAAAAACACTGCAGAAGTAGCTCGGTTATGGGTGTAACCACACATAACAAATTTGACTTAATTAGACATGATGAATCCAAAATTATTCAGATTGTACCAAGCAAATCAATTAATCGTGAACAATAATTATTCCTGTCAAAATACAACTAAGAGGTCATCACCAATGAGAGCCTGAAGTCAAAAGACCACAATGTTAAATATGTAGTTAACCACTACTGTGATGCAACAATGTTAAATATGTAGTCAACCACTACTGTGAAGCAACAAGGTTAAATATGTAGTCAACCACTACTGTGATGCATCCTCAAAGCCATTTGACAAACTACATGGTTCTTTGTTCATGTCAAGCCTTATAACAAGTTATCATAGTCAGCCATGCCACAAAGATGCAGTCCTGATCAGCATGGTCCATTGCAGGGTCTCAAAAACTCTGTGAGTCTACTGGGACTCACCAGAGTGCCAAGCCCAAAACCGCCCCCACTCAGTGGGGGCATATTGTTCATCTGCCTGCCCAAGGCAATGTAGTCACTTGATCGAGTTATGACAGGAGAAAAAATAAAAAATATTAGATTTTCAAGATTTGATTTTCAATCAAGGGTTTGCCCAAAGTTTGAAAACTTGCAAAAATTTTGCAACCCTAGCTCGATATTGACTGAAAATTGTTCTCTAAGCATATTTTGACTTCTCTAATAAATCACAGGCTTATTTTCCACAAAAAACTAATCAAAATATTGGATTTGCAAGATCTTAAACACCGAAAGACTAATTTATCCAAGATTTCAGCAAACCACTAATGTCATCGAATGTGTGCCAAATAAAATCAACTTTTCACATTTTTCATATCACATATAGGTTTCCTTATTTTTTCACCTTTTATGTTTTAGTTTTTAATTTTTTTTGTTTCCCCAAATTTTCAGGTTTTTTTGTGGGTGACTCACCCAACTCAGGGAAGAATCGGTTAGTTCCTAGTGGATTGCTCCAAGCACCAAGCAAATCCTGGAGTGAGTCTGAATTTTCAAACTCTGGTCCAATGCATACTCTGAATAAAAATACAATATATTTTGATAACCTGGATTCAGATTCAGACTTGGTCTCTGTCATTCTATTGGGTTGGACTCGGTGAGTCGGTTGAGTCACTTAAGCACATTTTTTTTGTAACTGTCAGAAATACTTTATATTCTGGAAATGTTTTTTTATTAATTTCTACTAAAGAAAATATTCAAGAAATAGTTTTGGTATACAAATTCTTTCAAAAATAAAATTCTAAAAAATCCTAAGAAAATAGAAATTCCCATAGAGAGGAAACATCATTGGATTATCACTTAATGAAGCTATTTTCAGTATAACCTGAAATAAAGTAGGCCAACAATAAAAAACCCCACAAAAAGTTGGGTCAGGTTGGTTTGGTTAATTTCTAGGAGCATTGTTTCAAAAAGCGGACCGCCCAACGCCTAGGCGGCTGCCTAGGCGGATATCCTTGGATGCCCGCCTGAACCCGCCTAGGGGCAGAAATGCGGCTCCTTGAGGGCATTTTTGAGTCATTTTTTAAATACAAAAGGGGTAAAATTATGGGTTTTAGGTTCACTTGAAACCTTACACCCATTAGAAGCTATTTTAGAGAGAGAAAACCCAAAAAACAAATATTTTTTACTGGGCCGCCTAGGTTATGGGCGGGCGCCTGGGAGCCTACCTATGCGCTAGGCGGCCTGGACCCCCTGACCGCCTAGGTCCTCGCACAAACAATGTGTCTTTCCATGGAGACCAAATCCCAATTGATTACTATGAACATGTTCTGGACTAATCAGAAAGCAAGTACAATCCATTCCTCATGCATTATAAGTTAGGGTTTTAGGTTTAAAAAGAAAAAGAAAATAACAGAAGTTAAAAAGTATTAAATCAAAAAGAGTTATCCTCTATTAATTATCTATAAAATCACAAGTTAAACTTAAAATTAAATCTCACAAACAGCCCTTTTCATAACAATGTCACATTGGAGTAGACTTGTTCAACTTCTTTTGACTCAAACAGGTCGAGAAAATTCCAAGTTGACTCAGAGAAGTCATATTAGTTTCCACACAAAACAGGGTAGGATTAGTTTCGCAAACCTGACCCAACAAGTGATCAGGTCCAATTGAGTAATCAAACAAGGACATTAAGTTCTACTTGTACCAGCAAATATAAGAAAGCATATTTAGTGTTAAAGAATAGCATGAGAAATCTATCATCGTATGTATGTGTCAATTAAAACATGATTGACCTGAAATAGATAGTGCAGTTTACTAGATCAGTAGATCCAATCAAAACAAGATGACTTGTCTAATTTTATGAAGCATCCATTTTTTAATGAAGGCTGTCTTTTAAAGCCCCAGCCCATGCAGCTCAGGAGGGTATTTTCACACTTCGTATTGCTAGGAAAACCTTACTGAGACAAATGGGACATAAATATCATCTAAAACGAGTGGCTGGTCCATTAGGACTAGGAAATTTTTAAATGTCATAGCCATGAAGCCTATGCGTGGGAAATTGACTGCAACAATGAATCTCATTTAACAATTCTACATTACAGCTTGACTACTTTACGGTAATGAATCTTGTGTAGAAGCATGCTAGAAACTAGAATGATAAGAAATTGCATGAGTCGTAGATAATTTTCTATCTCTATGATACTTCAGCAGTTACAAATTATGATAAGCTGATAGATCATATAGTTGAGAAAGGCCAAAGCTATAGGCATACCGCATCAACTTGAACTGCTTTGCTGTTATGTGCTGATGCACCAGTAATTCGAATTAGTGCGATAGAATCAGAAGTATATGATTCATCATTCAATCCTTTGTCAGATAAAAACTTCTTGTAGCCAGAGCTTAAACCACCCTACATATTTGACGTAAGAGGAATGTTACATCATGTACTCTCCAAAATAATTAATGGCAATAAAAGTAACACCAATAGAATCAAACAACAACAGTTATGCTCTAACATTTGGAAGAGGAAATAGACTACTCTTAATAAAAAACAAATGGGAAAAAAACACTATTGTCCAAACAGCATTCAAGAGAATGATCAAAACACAGACTTGCACCAATCAAGTGAATTTTAGATACCTTTAAAAGAACCATCGGCTGAAAGAGAGCAATAAACTGCGGTGGTTCTTTTCCTTGCATGATGCGACCCTAGAAGAAACACCGCTTAAAAAATTTAACTCTTACAACTTCTGAAAAGCACAATTTATTTAAAGATGAAATTACATAGAACCTGAACGGGTCTTCCTTTCAAGGAGTTGGTCATTGTGTTTGCCAGTCGAGCTGCAGTCAATTGGTCCTCCTGACAAAACAAATTTAGAATCTTGGCAGTCAGAGCAGACATATGTGAAGATAACCAGGACAAATACGAATACTACGAAATATAAGGATTGTATACCATGAGACCATCTACCTTTGTTACAAGGAGGTTGCAAACACCCCTAACCATCCAATTTCAAATTGGACAGCTTGGGGTGTGTCACGAATTTCGAGAAATGACAAGGTAACAACATAATAAAGCAACAGCAAAAATTGTGTGATCAATGACATGCTTGAGATCTCATTTAATTCATGGATGATAAGACAGATGGGTTCCCAAGCAAACTTAGTATACCAACAGGTTGTTCTATAATAATTCTATCTAGTGGACAAAGGTGTTATTTTGTCTCAGAAAAGGTATATCTTCTGCTAATTACACACCTGCACACTGTCCTTTCCGAACCAACAGCATAAGAAGTAGTCCTCCTTCTTGTCACCAGAATGATAAGTATAAAGGACGACGTAGCAGTCTCCACTGTAGAATTTACCAATTTCCTCTTTAGGAATCAAGGTCTTGGCATTGCCATTAATGCGCCACACCTGAAAGACAAGCACAAATGTTGCTCTTTTGACAAAATACACTTAACAGAATAGCTCTGATATTCATGTAGTATCTTCAAAACAGTAACTTGAAAACCGACACTGCAAGCATACCTCGAGTTTGCCGGTCCCTTCAAGCAAAGGAGGAACATCCTCATTAACTTGAGAACCTTTCCCGATGCCTTTAATGTCAACTCCTTGCTGCTTCAGCAAAGCTAACACATAGCATAAGACCACAGCGTTAAGATCCATTCAACTGAACATGACCCCCTTGTTCATCATAACTGACAATTCAACTGTACCTGCAACTTTCCCCCGTCCTTCATCTGCACCAGAAGTACCTGTACCCATTGGCCAGGACTCAAAGTTTGACTTGAATGAATGTGACTCATATCCTTGAATGACCCGTGTTATGCGTGTTGATTTTGGCGCATTTTGACCGGATATAAATTCCTGTATAATGCATGTCAGGAAAACAGTAGAAGATCCTTACCTTGGGTCTATTTAACAGTATAAAAGTGAGGAGTGTACCTCAGCAGCTTGGCTTGCAACCTTTCTGTCCTCCAGTTGGGTAACTCGACCAACCCAAACAAAGACCTCAGCTCCGCAATCCAACAAATAGCACTTATTGTTTTCCAGCAATGATTTAGAAAGAGCACCTTCAACGGCATTCACTTGACCATCGGTAATGCTACAGAAAGCAGCAGTTTGACTTACAACTCTAGTTCAAACCAGTCTATATATATATATATATAGGGAAAAACTAACAAACACTTGGCAGCTATATTGAATAGTAATATAGGTGAAATCCCAGTCGTCAGATCTTCATCGGGTGGTTCAAAATACATATCACTATCTGAATTTTAATATTTTTTCTAGAAATTGGATCATAATGAAATTTTAAACGTGTGTACTAAAGCATAGGACGCACAATAAAAAATATAAAATGATCAAAATACCCCTCAAAAATGATGGGGTAATTTGGTCATTTTAAATTATTGGAAATAATTTTTTATCCTTTTATATGGTGAGAAATAGTGTTAGGTATATACACCCACAATTTCATCTTAATATGATTTATAAAAAAAAGATTAAAATTACCTAATGAAGATTTGATGGCTGAGATTCCACCTATATTACTATTCATTATAGCCGCCGGTTTTTAGAAGGTTTA